AGCTAAAGAACAGGGGTCGACTTGGGAGTAAGCTGGACGGTGAATGGCCCCTCCCAGAAGAAATAAAAAGAGGAGTGAAAGGGGAGTGGAGTTTGCAGGAGACAATTAGTTCCCTTCTTTGGTTCTTGAATCTCCAAGACTCCTTGCCAAGTTTTGCAGATATCGGCCTGGCAGCTCTCCAAGCCGGATAAGGTCTGTGACCGTAAATCCTCCATCGAGAGACTTTGCTGGATGTGAATGAGCAGAATTCACAGTAAATTAATAAAAGGGTGCTTTGTTGGGACCAGGAGTTTGCTTCATGCTCTTGGGAAGCCTCAGTCAGAACATCTGTACTTCGTGTAGTAAATTGTCTTTTCTGTGTTTATTTACTTATTTATAGGAATTTCTATGGTCACCCAACTTACTCTTAGTGACTCTGGGCAACTTACAGGGATTTAAAAAATCCAACATAAAACCTTTCATTAAAAGCAATAGCCTGTAATCCTCTGGCAGCAACAATCACCTAAGCCATTTGATGGGCTCCATAAGGAGTCCAACGGCACTCATGGTTTGGAGGTTGGTGAACCTGTGTTCGAGACCCAAATGCTCCCATGGGGCGGAGGGAGCTCCTGTCCTTTACTCCAGCTCCTGCCGAGAACATGAAAGGAGTCCTCAACTGGACATCTCCTGGGCTAATCCTTCCAACACAGAAGCACCGAGGTGTGATGGGATGGGCTCCATTCCTCTCTTGGCCAAACCAGGTCTTCAGAGCGTGTGAAAAGGGTGTCGAAGTGGGGACCAATTTTATCTTCACAGGGATGATGTTCCACAGGGAGGGAGCCACCACAGAGAAGGCCCCTGTTGGCCCCATTAGGTCATGTGTGGGCAACCATGGGACCTTTACGATCTGTGGACTTCAGCTCAGGAATCCTGGGGGGGTGAAGAGCACAGGTCACAGAGTTTCCGTAGTTGCCCACCTCTGCCCTAGATGGACCTCCCTGCTTCCCTTTGGCGAAGGCTTTTCTTTTTCAAAAGGAAGCAAGGGTGAAGAAGCCTCACCCTCCCGTGGATGGTAAATGTGGAAGAAAACTACTCATCATTCTCTCTGTGTTCTTTCTTTGATATTTTGCCCTTTTAGGTAATGATTCTGATGTTGACCTTGACAGGAGGGAAGATGAGCGAGAAAAACCATCCAAGAGGCAGCGGGTACAAAGGACTGAGAAAAGTCTTGCCGCAAAAGAAGCAGACTCGGGAGCTAAGAATCCTATTATCAGTGTGGTCTTGACAGCCCACGAAGCAATTCCAGGTAACCACAACTATTTCTAGGGAGAGAGGGGATTTTTGCCTTTCTTTCTTTCTTTCTCTTCCTTCCTTCCTTTCTTTTCTATCTTCCCTCCCATTCTCTCCTTTTCTCCTCCCTCTTTCTTTCTTTCTTTCCTTCCTTCCTTCCTTCCTTCCTTCCTTCTTTCTTTCTCTTCCTTTCTTTTCTATCTTCCTTCCCATTCTCTCCTTCCTTTCTTCCTCTCTACCTCCCTCCCTTTCTTTCCTTCTTTTTTCTCTTCCTTCCTTCTCTCTCTTTCTTCCCTCCNTGGGGTGACAGAGAAAGGAAGCAGTATGCTTCCTCCCATATTTGGGCATACCAGAGGTTGTGACACAATACATACACATATACATACACACATACATACATACATAGTTTGTCATTGGGAAAATCATGTGTTGTTTGGGGAAGGGTCTCTTACATTGTCAGCCCATCTGAGCTTCACCTCAGTTTGCAGACCATCCATTTCTGAGGTACGTCTTTTCTGCCTCAGAAAGAAGGAAGCGTCTCGTCATTTCATAAAGCCAAATAGACAAATAAGTCACTTGCTTTTGTGCTTAATCTGTACATTGTTTTCAACCTTTCAAACACACGGATTAGACACGCCCTGACTGTCATGTTGTCAACACCTTCACAAATCTCGGCAGACTCCTTGCTGACTAATTTTGTCTCTGAGCTGCGCTGCCAAATAGATTTGTCCCATATGGCGAATTAAACCGATTTCTTTACGTTGGCACTGCAGTTACACATTCACTTTGGGCTGCCCGAAAAACTGAATTTCACCTCTACAATTCACTATCTTGTACAAATAACCAATTATGCATACGGGATGTCAGGCTTCAACTACCTCTCTCCATTCTGGCCCATTTGTGTCACATTCTTAGAAGTACTTAATTAAAAAGGAATTAAGGCAAAGGAATGATTAGAACAAGCCGTGAAATCTTTCACATGGTAATTGCTTTAACACTGGTTGCATGTTGCCAATGAATACCTTCCACAAATTAATGGACATTATTGATCCGAGGATAGGTTTAGCACGAGCACCTGACTAGCAAGAAGAAAAGCAAAGAAGGACCATTTAGAAAGAGGTCAGGAAAATAAAAAAGGAAAGGATAATCCTGTGCATTGTAATGAGAAGAAGCTTATGGCTTCCCCAATCTCTTGTTGTTGTGGCCCGTCAGTGGCAAGTGGAGCTGGCAGNTTAGGGTTAGGTTTAGGGTTAGGTTTGGGGGGGTTAGGGTAAGGTTTTCGCTTTAATTTTAAATTTTCCACTCACAGCCCGATGCTTTCGTCGCTCTGTGATGACGTCACGCACGCGCTTTCGTCGAGCGCGATTTTGTCGTCCGCGGTTTTGTGGTGGAACCCACAATACTTGCTGATATCGATCCATCTTGTTTTAGGTCTCTTTTTTGTGGATGATTTTTTTTTAAATCAAGAATCCATTCTATGACTGCCTTAGTCCACCTACCATCAGTTCTTCTTGCTATGTGACCAGCCCATTTCCATTTCAATTCTTTTGCTCTTGACGGCATGATATACTCACGTACTATGCAATTATGAATGTAAAAGGCTCTGCATCCCTACGGTTGCATTTCAGCATAAAATATCTAGCTTTTGACCCAAGAAGCTAGAAGAGTTTGCCAAATCGTGGAAAAACGGGGGCTCGCTTCTTGTCTGCTCATTAGACTTGCAAAGTGGGTTAAAAAATGAAATTATGGATGGTAAACTTAGTTGTCTATAAATAATGCAGAATTCTAGATGGCTGAATCCCGGAGCTCGACTGTGAGTGGTAAAATAAGGGTTTGAGGGCCCGAAAGCGTTTTCTGACCCACATAAGCTTTAATTCTTAGACGTATCAACTGAAGTTCCACTAATGGGCTCATGTGCATTTTGGTTAATTGCACAGAGCATAGAAATTACATGGCTGACCTGCTCTAAGAATGGTCTTTAAATCTTTACCAGAATGGAAGGACGGAGTGTCTCATGCTACAGCAAATCTTTTCTTTCTGGGTTGTGCAAATTTTGCCTTTTGACTACACAAATCTGACTTCTCCATTGACTCCTGCTGGACAGAAGGTCACAAAAGATGATCACATGACCCCGGGACATTATAATTATCATAAATACATGGCTGTTGCCACGTGTCTGAATTTTGGCCATGGGGAAGCTGCAGTGATCATGTGTGAAAAAAAACAATCATAAGTCACTTTTTTTTTTTGCTGTTGTAATTTTGAATGGTCATTAAACAGGCTGTTGTAAGTTGAGAACTACCTGGACTGATTTTTAAAAAAATCTGTGCTTTTCAACTCTTTAGAGAGAAAAGTGTTAACGAAAGAAAGGACCATTCTCCACATTTCCCCCTTACTCCATTTTTAACACTGAGCACTTAAATATATGTTATTTCTCTAAATAAGTATGAGTAAACCTAGTTGATGGGCAATAAAGGGGGGAAAAAAAGAGATGAGCTACAGAGGGGAAAAACACTCATTGTTTATCAAAACAGCTTTCTATTCGGTTCTAAATGTCAGCTTTTAGCTTTATCTTTTTTTCTAACATTTTCTCATGTTATCTTCTTAACTGTTTGCTACTCATTTTTCTCCTTGCTTGGTTTTTTTTCCCCATGGCCTTTGTAGATAAGCTCTCATGTTGAAATTAAAATATGATGCCATATTGTTCACATTTCAAGGTTGTTAATCTACTGCTGCACAAAAGCAATGTTATTCTTTAAAAACAAAAAAATTGTTGCTCATTAACTAAGATAAGTTGTTAGAGCTGAGCTACAACTCAGCAAAGGGATATTTCAGGATTCAGGTGATAATACCAAGATGGGAAACTAGCAAAAAAAAAAAAAAAGAATTGGTGAATGAATGGATGAGGGAAGCAATCTTTAATTGTTCCTTGGCTTGCCATTTCTTACCAGTAGATGTCCTCAAGATTGTTTCTTCCTTGTACCCTGTTTCCAGGGGTGGGTTTCAACCGGTTCGCGGCGGTCCCTGCGAACCGGTTGGTCGCCGAACCCGGAAGTAAGTACCTTCCGGGAACGGCGAAGC